GGGGGGGGGGGGGGGGGGGGGGGGGGTCAAAAATGCCGAATAAGAGCATCACTTTACTTGTAAACGATCCTTAAACATAGGCACTTCGTAACCATGAGAGTTACATACCAACAAGTGAAAGGTCTGGTTTTCTCGTTTATGAGGTTCTCTGCCAGATGATTATTTCCTTTTTCTTTGAATTTCTTTATTCAGGTATGAAGTGTTGAACAAATAATATTGCATAAATAAATAAATAAATGTAAGTAGAATAGAATAAATTTTAAAAATTCTCTTTTTCACGATTTCAACGGACGAAGTACAATTTTTCATACTGGAAGGACAGGTATTATACAGTCCTGAAAAAATGTTAACCTGCCGGTTTGTACTTTGTTTGTTTGTGTGTTTGTTTTTTTTTTCTTTTTTTTCAAATTCTCTAGGTCTTAGGCTCACAAACGAATCTTCCCTTAATGTTCCTGAGTTTGGACTTCGAATGCGCTAATGTATCACCTGAGTGTACCACGGCTCAGTTTGAATCTCGCGCCAGGATGATGATTGATGAAATCCGCTGCACGCAACGTTTCTTTGAATTCTTTGTTTTCAGTTTTTGGTTATGTTCTGGAGTCGTGTGTCGTGCGTGGACGCTTAGCATGTTCCTAATCGCAATTCAGCAAAAGTTTCATCATTTTGCCTCGATCATCCAATTCCCTTGAAAAATTCCACCTTTTTTAGTTTCTCATGTGCTGATTAGTGTCAATTATTATCTCTGTTCGTTCTAACATATCGGTCAAATGCGTCAGTAACGATGGTCTCGCCAAGTATGACGGACACCAACGAGAGGAAACCTCGTGCCAGACCACGGCCTCGGAAACCCAACATATCCTCAGCCAGGAGAAAACAAGACAATGGAAGGAACGTAGAGGTAGCCATGAGAACGTTCGAGGAGAACATCCGCGGAAAAAGTAGCAACACCGGTGAGAAAAATCCTATCATCGGTGAGATCCTTTACACTTTCCAAGACTCGACTGCTCCTGTTAGCGAGGATGCGAAAGATACTCTGAACGTTCTCAAAGAATTTGTGAATGTCTGCAAAGTCTCTGTCACAGCTCGACTTGTCACCGAAGATGATTACGTCCCTGGCAACAATACGGTCCCGAAGAAAAGGGCCCAGAGGAAAATACCGCCCACAGTTCAAACTCCCAAAGCAACCTCAGCAGCAACCGTACCCCCTGGAACCGTGGAATCCAAACCCAAGGGCAGTGAATCTAGCTGTTCTCCAGTTGTAGCCTCTGTTGCTGTTGCCAAGTCGATAGATGTCAAAACTCCTGAATCTCAGAGCACCCAGAAGAAAGGCTCTGAGATGGATCGCATCTCTCATGAACCTGCAGATTCTCAGTTACAAGTATCTGAGCCACCTCCTTCCAACCCAACTCAATCTCAGGAAAGTAAACTCATAACGCCAAAACCGGACCCTCCTCAATCTAAGGACAGTGAGTTAGTAACTCATAAACCTGATCATTCTGAAGGAAGTGATCTTACAACTCAGTGTAAGCGTAAATCAAATGAGTTAAAAGTTTTTAAGAAAGCATCTCCCGTGAAAGTATCTCGGACTACAAATAAAATAGAATCTAGTCAGGACAAAAGTGAAATGAAATATAATTCAGTGACGCCTTCCGTTACCAAACAGATTTGTGAAGAAATCATCCCTGGTGGAGCCGACATATCGTTAGGTGATAAAGGAAGTGAAAAATCTCCGGAGGGCATTGAAGTGCTCGACCCGGGAGACTTTGATTTCCTCCGCGCACCCCCAAAGTGAGTTAAACTCCCAAATTTTTTCTCTTTTATCTAATTTTTATGTGCTACTGCATTGTCACTGAAAGGGACATTACTTCTGAAACGCTGTTCATTTTATTACTAACAATCGGTTCATTAACAACCATCATGGTGATGGCAAAGCTAGTTGAATTTTCATTCAATATACCTCACTAGTTTGAAGTATCTTCTTATATTTCCTGCTATGGCAAATTTTAATATGATTTCATCAGTAACACATCTTCAGCCCCTGCACTGAAGAGTGTATTCATCACATTTTTTAACTGACATCCCACAAGTAGCAAAAATTTTCAGAAGTAACCTTAACAATATTCAGTCTAATTTAATCATATAATCCAGACATATCACTGCTCATAAAGGTGTTCAGTTGGTAACTATCAGAATCAGATGGGTGGGAGAAGTTGGCTCCTTTCTGAAACCGTTATTAGGTGAAAGTAAGTAACAAAAGCTGCATTTGGACCAATATCAAGTCTCTCGTTATCTCCCCATGACCTAAAAGGGTAGGGAAATCTAAAACCGTCGCCAAAGCCGTAAGGCAGATTGCGTCTTCACCAACAAAACAAAAAAAAAAAAATTCCTTAGAAACTAAAGATTACACTCATGTACTTAAAAATCAGTGTCTTGTAAATTCAAATAATCAAATGTCTTTAAAATTCTTGAGTTCAGGAGAATTTGCATCACAAGCTTAAAGCCTGACATTGATGAAAAACATTTTGAAGGATTATTATTATATATTTTTTTTTGGTTTTATTCAACTTTGACAATCGAGTAGAAAACGCAGGTATCACACAGATCGAGGATGGGGGGGGGGGGGGTGTAATAGCCATGAAATATGCTGAGCAGACTCTTCTCAGAAGTATTTACTTCAAACATTTTCTTATTACCTATTAGTTTCTTCTCCAAACTTTGTGGGTTGTGCCCCCCCCCCCCCCAAAAAAATCAAAATTAATTGACTATAATGAATGAAATTCTCACTATATTTGAAAATTGTAGATTGCTGTTATATTCACCTTGCCAACAGCTTAATCACCCCCTCTAAAACTGTCAATTTTATTTTGTTTCAGGAAGAAACGTATTTCGTACTATTCACAGCGTAAGCGAGAGTATGGAACAAAGTATGCTCTTCAATCTGGAGATACCATCAACAAAAAAGAGATGACAATGCATGATTTGATTTTTTACAATCCTAAAACTAATCCCATGTGAGTGAACAATTTTTAATAAAATTGAGGAGGTATGTGCCTCAAATACCTCATGATACATGAATGGTAAAACTGCAAAAATTTGGAAGTATCTTGGTTTTTGGAATTGCAGATTTCCTATTTTACTCCATTTTTCACATGGAAAACAATTAAATATCATTTCCTGGAAACTCTCCTGGTACTTTTTCTCTATGTGAAGAATATTCTGTAAAATTTCAAGCCTTAATGTTCCTTCAGTCTCTTTTAAAAATTACAATAGGAGTGGAAATTTTGACACACAAAAACCAAAAGACATATTTTTGAAGTTTCACCGTCAACTTACTAACCTCTAGGTTTCTGGGTCCTCTTAAAATCTATTGAGAGCCTGCAGTATCATATCAGGAAAACTTTGAAAATGTGGTATTTTCCTGATGGGGTAAGAAAGTAAGTTTTTACAAGGATAGAATTTTTTTATTAACTTAAGGGTTAGATTGACGGACTGGGCCGAATTCACATAGGTGTAACCTACCTTAGATGGAGGAAAAATATATTATAATGAAAATTAAATTAACATGAGGCAATGGGCCTGTTGCAAACTTTTGCTAGAGCAAGAATAAGAGTTGTTCCTTATAGATAATATCTCAAAAATCACAATGAGTGCATTGACAAACTCTGAAATGCACTCCTAATTTCACAATCTGCTAAAGAAATGTTTTGTTATTTTAAGCTTCCTGCTTCAAAAAGAATACTACGGCACAGGTGAACATTTCGTTAGAGGAGTCGTTCCATTCAATCCCTGCCCAGCATGGCCAATGCTTCCGCTTCCAAGTTTAGGAGAGCACGAGATCAATCAAGGCGGATATCTATCAACGCGAGAAAAATGTGAATCTAAACACGCCGATTGTCATCAGGTGGTTAGAATCATCGTCCCGTCACATGTGTTTTGGCGGATTGGCGTCGGCTATGTTGAATATTGCGTAGTATTCTTGTGAGTAGGGGTTGGATGGAATGACTCCTCTAATGAAATGTTCACCTGTGCTGTGGTATCGTTTTTGAAGCAGGAAGCTCGAAAAAATGCAAATTTCATTTGAAAATTGTGAAGTAAGGAGTGCATTTCACACTTTGCCGATACGCTCAACGTGATTTTTGAAACATTTTCTATGAGTAACAACTCTTATTCTTGCTCTAGCAAAAGTTTGCAACAGGCCCATTGGTACAGACATACAACAAAATTTAGTGCATTTTGTGGTTTGCTGAAATTAAGATTGTCAAGCAGCCCAGATTGCATATATGTAGCACTAGAAAATGTGTTGAATCAGCAACAGCAACCAGGGTGAAAAGATGTGAGGCATGCATAAAGCTGTTATTGGTACTCAGTTCTGTATGCATATGAGGTATCAGCTTTCACGGGAAGCCACACTTTTAACCTTCAAGCTGGTTCTCATTGCCATCTATATTTATCATTCAAGTTAAAAGCATGGATTTTACTTGATCTAAAGCCAAATTATAGTTTTATGTATTTGTATTACAATCCCACTGTAGGTTAAGTACCTCAAAGTAGCAGACACTTTTAGTCTTTGCAACCAGCTGGTTGTTCATAATGGGAAATTTGTTGGTCCTTGTAAAAGTTGCGTTAAATCATCCATAAACTTGTGTTGGCTCAGCTTCCCTGAAAGAGTGGAAAACGGCATTTTTACAGGAAGTTCCTCCCTTTACCCTTGAGTTGCTTGATTTTGTCTCAACCTTGCTTCTACTTTTTCATTCTATCAAAATAATTAACTTTTTTCAAGCTCCCAGCTTTTTTTTTATTTTTCACTGCCCCTCCTTTCATAGTACGTCTGAATTCCACATTTCTTGTTATCTTAACGTAAGAAAGGATTTATTAATTTGGAACAATTTTTAAAATTTGTTGTGCTCAGGTCTAACAGTCAAGTGCCAGTGAAGAAAAATTCTAGTCAAACTAACATCAAACAAGAAACAAATGAGTAAGTGACATCGTGCTTTTTTCTGACTTTTTCTTATAGTCTTAGTGTTAATTTAAAAATCATTGCCAGCATAGATTCAGTGAGCAATGAAATAAATTGGACAATGAGTGATCAACAGGTTTGTTAGCAACCACGTTTCTTACATGCACGGTACATACTAGGCAAGGCAATTGAAACAAAAGTAAGTTCTTTTGACATAGACCACCCAAAATCGACAGAACGCTCTGTCGTGTTGGTTTTTTTTTTTTCATCTTGGCAGTAAGTTTGATACAGAGTTCCAAGTCTGCAATATTCGATTTCAATTAGTTTGCTTTTCTGCCTGAGCCAAACTGCCGGCCAAGACTGAAGCAAAACCATTGCAAATCAATGTCTTGTTGATTTAGGTGCTTGAATAGCTGGAGAACATACCTTTGTTTCCATTGCCTTGCCTGTTTGGTAGATATTGAGTAAAAATAAAACCAACCCCTTTTTTAAGTATTTTTAGTGGGTGGAAAAGGTACGCTACTCATAAGTTGTCGACCTTTTACGCCTATTTATATCAAGACGGCCCCAGTTTCATTTGTTGAAAAGATGTATTTTGAAACAGCAACTGAAAATTGAAAGATGTCTTGCATTTTAGAAAAAGGTGTGCTGATTTCATCTCTAATGATCACACATCATCAACTTCTTATCATAAATGATGTTCTCCCTCAAAAAATATGTTCCGCATCAGCAGTTTATAGTGAGAAGTTATTTTTTAGGAAATTTGTAGGCGTGATAGGAATAGAGTGTTAGCCACCAATTAAATCAGTTATAAAATGATAAGTTTTTCAATGCAATTAGTTTTTCCAAAGTACTTAGCATTGAGGTTTCAAAGTATTAGAGTCATTTCGTGGCAATGGAGGGGCTTGGAGGACAGGTGGGATACCGACAGTTTTTGCAATTTCGAGAGATAAATGTTTTAAGTTCAACATTACATGGAGCCTTATGGCTGAAAAAAAGTTCAAACTCTCTTTTTGATGCTTTAATAAGACTTCAGTCAAGAATTGTTTGCTCGTCATTATAGTTTAAGATTATTTTTAGTTGAAATTATGAATATCTCAATTTTTTCAAAAACTACTCTTATGAGCCTTGTCGTCCGAGTTCCTCAATTCAACCAATAAATTTTCATGACCACCCTAGATTTTGATGATACTTGGTAGGCATTGTGAACCATATAATGGTAGAATCGTAACCTTACAACTTTCTCTGACCAATAGAACTGCAGTTATGGGGGCTCGAAGATGGTAAAACTTGGGTTCTAAGTAAGCTACAGGGCTCAACTTTGGCTTGATTTGAAGCTTTTTATCTCCTTTATCAAAAAGATTGATGAATGTTGTCATTTTTTTAAGATAGGGGTACCTAGTACCCATCCCGCCTAATTAAAATGTTTGGGGGGGGGGGACTGTGGCAAAAGAAGCCCCCTTCAATTTTCGTAAAATTTATGAATGTCGTTAATTAACATTGTTACGTATGCTTTCCAGTCTTGTAGCTAGTCGCCTTGAAGAAGAAGCTATTGATGATGTAGATGAAGCAGACTCTGAAATGCCCGTCCCACAATTGAAGCTGAGTGCTGATGGGAAAATTATTCTTGATCCCAAAAGTCTGGTGTGTTTCAATTGACTATTATCTCAGTATCCACTCACTAATTTACCACTCATCATTTAGGCAAATATTCTATCTTGGATCCCATGGTCCTAAATGTTCTACATTCCAGGTCATTTATGTGTAAACTGCTTCTTTCATACTTGAAAATTGAGCAATGATAAGGAATTGTTTGCAGGGTCTTAGTTTAGTCACCCTAAGGTGTGTATGAAAACAAAAATTTTTAAAAATCATTTCTAAAGGGAGAAAAAGCTAATCAAAACCTGACAGTTGGGTTGATGTAGCACAACGATACCTGAAGCTGGGTTCAGTCAATCAGCAAACACAGTTTCTCCCACCTGGCTACATTATCAGAGCTGGCCGAAATTATCATTTCACGTAGGACATATTTTTGGCATTTTCAAAATGGGTTTTCTTTTGGTTTACAAAATTTTCTGGAAGCTCAATTCACTCTGTATTTTCAAAAAATGAATTTAAAAAAGTAGATGGCATCAACCCATTGAGTGATTGATGAATGAAAATTCCTTTTAAATTGTGCAGTAACTTCAATTTTATAATATTTCCATGCTTCTTTCTCACAGGTTGTTCAAACTTCAGCTGAAAAGAGTCTGAAAGCCTTGGAAAATTCATCTGTCATCGAGGAAGATGGAACAATCATAAACCGTTTTAGTAAGGCGAAAAAGAAGTACCACTTCTGGACACCTTTAGGTAGACGCATTTCATTATTCTGTTTTCTTTGTCTCTTTTCCCAAGGCTCTCTTACCAGGCTGCCTTTTATCATGAGATAAAATTCTACAACGCAGCCTGTGAACACAGAACAGTGTAAAAACAAAACAAACAAATGGGAAGCAAGGCCAGAAACATCAGTCAAAAACCAGTGTCGCTCTGGTTGGTGATCCAACCATTATCAAGCGGTAAAATGATGAAAAATAAAAAGGCTGAAATACCACGTTTTTGGTGTGGTGTTGGGCCAGGGAAAAAAGAGAGAAAAAAATATTCTTGTGTAGCTTTACACTGAAAATGTAGCTTTTGCAAATTCTTCATTTTTTTTATTTTTATCATTTTACTGTCTGATAATGGCTAGGTCATCAGCCAAAAATTCTCAGGTTTTTAGTTAATGTTTTTAGCCTTGTTTCCTTTTTCCTTTCTTTAGCATTTGTTTTGTTTTTACACCCCTCATTTTATTTATATGAATAAAATTGTCAAGGGTTTTATTGTGATGCCTATTTTCGGAATTGCATTGGACAGATTCCAGCACCGCTTGATTCGGGTAAAACCTCTTGACGTCCCAACAAAATTTTCAAACTTCCAAATTTTCTCATCCGCTGATGCTTGAGACACTCGTGAAGTCCCTTTTACTTTCAATTTCAAGTTGGGCGCTGCAACACCTATTTCAGGCAATCTATCAGGCCATTAGCATTTCTTGTATAAACACCTTAACAAGGAGTTAGTCAAATGATTCTTTACTCACGTTTAAAGCATGAATCGTTAATTATGATTAGCGGTTAACCTTCTTCTTTACTATTTCACAGAAACTTTGCGATTTTACCGTGCATTGAACACAATCGGAACAGATTTTTCTCTCATGCAGTCAATATTTCCGGAGAGGACCCGCCATGATCTGAAGAGGAAATTCAAAAAAGAAGAGAGAACCAACAGGGAGCTGCTAGACAAAGCATTATCTGCATCAGCAGAATTTGATGTTGACATGCTTGAGCAAGACATTAGTAAGTGCTGAAATTATTATTATACATTCAATTCGATCTCTTAATACCTAAACGATCTTGTCTAAATGTTGCCTTGAAAAATCGAATGATTGAGGATGAAAATACACCAACTAGGTTTTTTCTTTTCTTTTTTGTTCCATATCTAATTTTTAAGGTTTAGTTAAGATTGCTCGCAGGCATCCTCCTAAAAAATGACACATCGATTTCTACTTGGACCTTCAAAGTGTCTTCAAGTACTTGTCCTTTGGCACCAAAGAGCTTTTTCTTATATTATCTTAATCTTAATCTCTTCACTTCCTGTGCAGTTTTTTGTGTCTCCTGAATAGTTTAATTTTTCCACTTGGTGTGTTTTCATTCTCACTTTTTCAAATTCAATTAAGATTTAATGATCTCTCATATTAGAATATTTATTAAATCGGCTACATAGCCAATATTTGCTGTATGTTAGAACTCTTTCTCCCTCCTGAGGCATTGGAAAGATAAATATCTTGCATATTTTTTCATGGCTCCCCACTCTTTCTGATTAAAAAATCAACATTTATCTTTAAAGGTTTTGAGAATGTTACAAGTACATATTCTGTTCTAATTGGGGCTGGAGAAAGAATAGATTTGTTGTACACAAGAGATATTGATAAAAAAAAAAAAAAAAGGAATTTTTCAAGGGTAAAGTCACAATAACCATATCAGAAAAATCTGAAATTTCCTCTTTAACCCAAAATTTGCGTAGAGTTTGCAAATGTCCTGCGTCTGCGAACACTTTTGATTTGTTGTAGGTAACTGCTTTTACCCAAAAAGAAGTTCCCGATAACCTAATCTAAATATACAAAAAAAATTTGCAAACACATCTCAATCTGTCTCAAACGTGATTTGTGTTGTTCCAAAGCATTTGTTATCTTCTTTAATTTAAAAAAAAAAAACAGCAAAAACCATTGCTTTTGAACACCTATAAACTAGAGTACCCGTATAGCAAGAGTATAAATAGATGTGAAACTCCGAAAATCCATCAGGCCTTCACCGATGTCTCCGAGAATAAAGATAGGGCCCAGAAATACAGCCAACCTATGATTTTCAATTATCCAGAGCACTTTACTAATACAATTCTTACGAACCATCGTTTATAAAGCACGTATTTGACTTAGTTTTTGCATAAATTTACTCAATTTTGCGGAAGAATGCTCATTTATGTACATTCTTAGCCATCTTAGTTGGAATTGGAATCTGCAGACTGGCAGTGAATTTTTGTGCACTAGAAGTTGGTTAGAAGGGTGGCTGCACTTTTGGGCCCTTGGCCCTCCATGAAGCGATCTGTCTATACTCTCGCTATATAGATACTCTACTATAAACATACAAGTAACAGGTAAAAAACAGTTTGCATATTTAGGTCAGGTGATCTTACTTCTCTCTCTGAGTAAACCTGCCAACGACAACAGAAAAAGTGTCTGTGGACTCGAGAAATTTGATAATGTAGGATTCAGACTATCTGAATCAAGTGTTGAGGAGTGAATTTCAGACTTTTTTGACATGGTCATTGTGATTTTTGAGTAGTTTTACTTCTGTAAAGTCTCTGTAAGTCATAATTACTTTGCATGTACGTATTTTTATACTAAAGGGTTTGTAAGTATTTTGTGCTTTAATCTTGCAATTAAGACAATGTTTACTCCAGAATTTTTTTACCTTGGTAATTTTTAATGTGTGGGGTTTTGTACTACTACTAGAAATCACGTACTTGTCACAGAAGATACTTGAAATTTCCAATTTCAGTGGAAGATAGTCCCCTCAGTTTCTTATAGGTAGATGATTCCAATTTTTTTCTTTTTCTTACCTGTCTAGAAAGGGACACAGAAAGAGCAGAAATGCAGAGAAAGGCCAAAGAAGAAGAAGCAAGGAAAAAGAAGGAAGAGAAAGAGGCCAAGAAACTGGAAAAGTTGGAAAAGAAATCAAACCCGAAAACAAAAACTTACAAATCGAAACGAAGTAAGTTTTTCCTATTTTATATATCATTTACTCCTGCTGATCACGGAGTATCTTAATGGCAACCAATTATTTCATTGACTTTTTAATAATTTTGGCTAAAACATCCAAAAATCAGTAACTTTCAACCGTTTGATATAGTCCTCATTCTCTGAGGTTAAAGCGTTTAAACTATTTCCTAGGGAAAAGGAAAAATTTTAGTTTCAATGCTGTTATATCATTGATTAATTGCTGTTTAAATCTCAAAAATTGAGAAATGAGCGTAAAATTTAGAGAATTTTGCGTCGATCCTTTTCCCTGAAGCAAATGATGAATAATTGATTAATGACACTCCTTTCATTCCAAAAATCGTTACCATTAATGCTATTGTCACTGCACTGGATTAGCGAAGCCAAATTTTGTATCCTCTTGGAGTGAAGATGAGTCCAAAAAAAAATAACTTTTACTGCTCTAGTAACCCAATTTAACAAAGTTCAGCTTGTCAGAGAGCTAATAGTATGACCAATTAGATGCTCTCTGTGGGTTCTGTTTCTTCATTTATATTAATTTTAAATCCTTCTTGATATCTTCAAATACAATTTTTGTTTTTTTCTTCCAGTTCGTAACTTGTTGCCCTCGGATACGGGTAAATATGCAAGGAGAAGTAAACCTATATTAGCTTCTGTCCGAGAGAAAAAACCGAGGAAAGCCAAAATTCCAAAAAAATCTTGGTTGAAGGAGGAGCTAAGTGACACCAGCGAAGAAGAGGTCCCAGATTTTGACAATCTTTATCCCAGCGATGATGACCTAATATCTCACATAGATCATACATACTCATCCAATCATCGCAAACGTCTCAAGATAGATGACAGCGATGAGGAATATGAGTGTAAGCCCATGTTTAAGGATAGATCAAGGACAAAATTAGGAGAAAATGAGGCAGAGAGCAGTAGCACTCTTTCAATTTCATGCCAAAATGAATCGATAGATAAAAACAGTGTAATTGAAGAAAGTCCTAGTCCTTTAGGTTCATCTAAAAATGAATCTGCAGCTGTAAGTATCGAAAATCAAACCGCAGGTGAGACCACAAGCAGTGTTCAAGTTGTAAGTGAGGATAATTTAGTTTATAAATTTGTTAGTGGTCCTAATCGGAGTGAGATTGAATCAACTAGTAAAAGCGCACCTTTGTATGGTAACAAACTCATAGGAATCAATCATGAAAGTGAAAGTGAGACAGATACTAGAAATGAAGAAAAAGAAAATGAGAACTCAAACGTGAATGACTCTGTCATTGTGAATGAGTATATCATCATAAGCGATCTTAGCGGAAATCCGACCAAATCAACATCATAGCCCTGAAAATACCTAGTTTGGAGATAGATTGTTTTGCGAGCGGAACTCATTGAACAAGAAGCACGCCATAAACAGCATAATTTCAAACCTTTTCCATGAGCCTTTTCAGTGTAATTTGCAACTGCCAAGATCATCACTATAAGTGTTTCTGTTATTCCCAGATTTTTGGTTTTGTTACATTACAGCAATTGACAAATCAAATTTCTGTACGTTTAAGTTGCTTACCTCTTTCAAAAGTTTAAGACATTTTGATGTAATGCCGTATGATTTGTGTACTTTTTTTAAAAAAGAAAACAATTTTAATATCCTCACAGATACTTTAATACAGATAGCCATGTTCTACTATCATTTTTTTAATACTCGTTCACTTTCTTTCTATTTCAATTTATCTAATTAAAATTGTGTAGACTATTTGGAAGACTTGCACATCTCCCCACAAATATAATTTTGAAATCTAATCGTTTGTTTTAAAGTATTTTATCGAAAAATTGTTCAAGCATGGCGTATTTTATCTGTACGTTGATTGTTGTTTTTAAACTTATTTATTTATTTATTTATTTACTCAGTGAAAAGAACTTTATTTGTTTTGGAATTTTACTTACAAAGCAGCTTGTTTTTTTACCTTAAGGATGGTAACTTTCTTTGTTTCTTTTATTATGCTGAAAAATATGTCGAGGGCCAAAGTGCAAAACTACGTATCTCCGTTGCAATGTTTCAAAATTTTGGTTCCTATTTTATTTTTTTTTGAAGAAAAACAAGCCTACTTTAAAGCTTGTAATTACTACAAAGTACTCTACTAATAGAAAAGAAAAATCAGAGATTTTTTCAAGAAATTATGTTGATTAGTTTTGGAAAGAAAAAATAAAGTATTACAGGAAGTCTACTACGTCACAAACTGAGGTACGCAGTTTCGCACTTTAGCCATCAATATGGACTAAATTTTGCAATGAGGAACTGCATACTAATTCTTGCTCACCCTAAAATATCTGCCTGTATAAGGAAACTATAAGTATGTGAGTTGTTTCTAAAAGGAGCCAGAACTAGTACATAGTTCGAAATTTTCTTCTTTACTCATTTGCCGGGAAATTTTCCTTTAACAAGGCAGTATCGGCCATTTGACCATCATCAGGTGCGAACTTTAACATTGTGTAGAAAAGGTATAGATATAGAACAGAATTAATTGTTCCCTATCGCAAAATGTAGTACATATGTATGAACGTCATGTGTCACAAACAACTGCACTGTCAAGTTTTTGCAGCAGAATTTGAGGCATTTAGACAGTCTTAACGTTGAACTTTCATAAGTTTCAGCCCTCATCTTCATTTATGTTACCTACTTTCAGAATGGCATTCTTTGTATTTTTTTTAAGGTGTCACATCACCGAATTTGTATTATTGCTGTTTGATTAAATCAATTTTGTAAATGACTGTTTCCTTTATTTTTGAGAAGTATGTAATTTACCTGAATATATTATTATATTTATTCTAATTTTATTAGTGATTTCATTATTATTTTTGACTCATATCGGTAGAAGTATCAATTGTAAATATCAAAAGAAAAAAATTAACACCCGTGACACCTTTTATTTTTATTTTTAAAGTTTCTTGCATGGAATAACAATGTGCATCGTACGTATGTAACTTTTAAAATAAAATATGAAAGGTATAAGGCCATACATTTTCTTCTTTTGATATTTAATATTATTTGTTCGCCTGTACTATTTTTGTGCAATATCGACGATGAAATGAGAGGAACTTGGACTTGTAAATAGTGAAACTGCAGAAATGGATATCACAGTTTGAGACATTGCGGAATACCTGTCATATTTTATTTTCTACATGGAAAACTACTGAACGTCTTCTCTTAAAAATCTCCCCAACTTTTCTGTTGTGTGAAGAATATTCTACAAAAATTTCAAACCATAGTGTTTCTTTGGTTTCCTCTTAAAAAATAAAACAGAACCAACAAGTTACACATTCTTGCAGTTTCACAACCGATAAAATCTCAGTGGCTTCACACAAATTTTCTTTTTTCATTAATTTTTTTTTTTTTTTTTTTACAAATTTCCTATGATGTATCAATTGAATCATGTCATGGAAAACCTGCTGATGGTCATTCTTCCAGTCTTGAATTTTTTGGCTTGATAATACTTTTTAGAGTTAGGTGGAACCACAAAAGTGGGGTCAATACGCGTTTTAAGGTTATCTTAAAATCATATTTCTATTCTTAGAAAGATTATCTGCTTTTTTTTTTTTTTTTGTCTGTGTGAGAAAATCAATACAAACTCTTGAAAACGTCGGCAGATTCTCCTCTGGAAGTATGTAGAGAATGAAGATTCTATGACCATGCCTAGATCCAAATCCAAGAAATACTCTGCCATGCAGAGGAAGAACGCCTTTTGAACATTTGAGACTTGCCAAATATTCCCGGGTTTAAAGCATGTATTTTTTAGGAGTTATACGCCTTTTTTTCCTTGACAATTACAGACACTTTGGTACAAATTACGAACAAAATTCTCTGAAATATTGGAAATAAAATCTTTAATTTTCCTGAAAATTCGACATTTATCGAAGGGGATTTACTAATGTCTGAAGGTTTATACAGCGTTCTTCCTTAACATGACAGTCAGTATTACAGCAAGCCGTAATAAGAATGAACCAAAGTGAATTTCATGTTCCTAATTTCCTACTTTTTTTATTTTCGTTAATCTCTTCTCATGTTTTATTTTCTCAAACTAGAACCGACCAGTTTAGTGTCATGAAACTCCTTTTGAAATGCTCACAGTATAAAAAAAAAATCCACGCCACCTCAAAACTGAAGGTTGCGTATTTTTCCTTTGATATTAATTGAATGAGAAAGTCAGGTAGATTCTAGATCAAGCCGTTCATATGTTAATAGTGTGTTAAAGTGGAAAAAAACGTATCTGGGTCGCTATGGTTCAACATTTTTTCCTCTTTTTCATTCGTTATATTTTATGTATTTATTCCTTTATTTTTTACGTATTAATTCATCTGTTTATTTATTTTTTTTTCATTTCAATGCTTTCCTATCGTATCAAAATACTCTAATGAAAAAGGAAAAATGTCTCACTGACAAAATTAGTGAAATTTTTATCAGACTGGGTACTGTGCCCGATCACTGATCTCATTGATTTCCAGTCATGAGCTACTTAAAATAAAAAGGCCCTCAGTCAATGTGTGCAGTTAGCATCTATACCTGTTTCTCTCTACATAGTTTTCAAGTTCCTCTTTGACCTCAGCACTGAGAAATATTCTTTGAAGAATGGAAATAACATCCCCAAAAAGTGGATATAGTGAGCACAGGCGGGAGAATTCCGCTGTCCGCGGCGCACTATGGTTCAGAACTCAAGAATAGGAAGAAATAAGTCGGTTAATGACTGAGTAATCACGAGGGTTTCGTTATTGCTGTTTTTTGAGTCGCTGATTTAAAATTCGATGTCAAATTACCAAGGTTTTAACACCCTTAAATGTGGGCTTTTGGCACGGCACGCTGCGTTGCGGCGTGCTGCGGCTGCCAGCTCGAAGCGCGCATTGGCGCCTACAAACCTACAGGGATACTTCAAGCATTGCGCAATGTGCCGCGGCGCGCTCCCGGCATCGCCAATCTCACCTCAGCTCATTGTCAGCTTGTAACGAGCCTTGGTGGCTGTGCGGATAAGATGCTCGACTGCGAAACACGCTATTCCGAGTTTGATGCCCGATGGTCCTAAACTTTCATACCCAAGACTAAATGAACACTGAATCATGATTCTTGGTCCAAACAAGTCCCAAAACTTTTTTTTTTTTTTTTTTTTTTTTTACCAAATAAACGACGTATACTGTCATATCGGTTCACTGAACTAGCGACTTCTGTTAAATGGGCAACTTCGTGTTTAATTAATTTTTTTTAATTTCCGACCTTTAAAATTACATTAGAGGAAGTGTAATAATGAAAGGCGGGTCGTGCTGCCATGCGCGCTGCGGACGGCGAAATTCTCCCTTGTGCTCTGTCGGCAGTTGGAGTTGAGGCTACTCATTTTGAAATTCGCGGCTGTGAGCCAATAAACTGTGATTGGTTGCAGGAAAACTATGATCTTTGGAAGTGACTGTGACGTAGGTAGAAAAGTAAATTCTCCGCCTCCGCTTGCCACCCAACAGGGACGAGTTCTATAGGACGCCGTTCTGTTGTGAGCGGGTGATTGCAGCGCATTCTCGCGTAGGATCCTAGTCAACTCAGAGGATCCTTCCCCCCGAACCTCGACTCATCCATCGCCCGCTCCAAAAGTGAGGTTAAGCCGGAGATTGATTGAAAAATAACACATA